CTGGGAAAGCCATGCTTAGCCAGTAAGTCTGTAAGAGCTTGAGACTTACTCTGCCCTTTTAACACCATGTTAGATGCTGGCAAGCTGGACAGGGGACCCCAAAAGCCTTGAGAAAGGACCAGAACTTACGACACATGCACAAGTGATGTTTACTCCTGAAAACCTTCCTGAAAATGAGTTGCTGCAGGGGCTGAGGTGTGTTTAAAAGTTGGTGTCAGCATAAAGAAGTGTTTTTAAAATCAGCTGCTATTGTAGTAGTTCTGATTTACAAGACGAGTTTGTACATATTTATGCAGATGATTATTGTTTTAGCATGCTTATCAGGCTTTTGTATGCATTTTCCTTCCTGAGTAGAGGAAAATACTGAGAGCAACAGAGATCCTGAAAGTAGCTAGTGATTTTGCACAATACAATCATTACTGTGGCAAAAGGAGAAGCGAGATGCCTCCATGTGTTTGAACTTTAGGGATTTTCTCTTAGTACTCTTCAGCTGGCTGCCAGCTGGAGCGGTCTTACTATCTGACCATGAAGTGGAAATGCCCCTCAAGCAGCAAGTGTTCTGCAGAGAACAATTTGATAAAGAAAGTGAGTAATTTTTATGTCTCCTGTTGAGTCTTGTCACTCCACACTGTTGGTTCAGCCTGTGCTCCCATGACAAGACACGCAGATGGAGGGGAAATGTAAAGAGAGCTGGAAAGGAAGGTTGGTAACACAAGAAGTCAGAAGAAGAGTGTTCTAACAGCTCATCACAAGACTCAACTGGGAGAAAACTTCGGTTGTGATGCTTTTAAAGCACTGGTGGTAAGTCTTGATGTACCACAGTTTGTGAAAGGATCGGTGATTTCAGTAGTTTGAGATTAGAAGTACCTTCTAGCCTAACATACTCTTTGACTGTATCTTTACCAGGGTGCTATTTTTGTGGGACTGAGCACATATTAGAATTAGTGATTTAGTTATAATGATAGCTATATATATCCTAATTTTGTGTTGACGATGATGATGAAGTTCGTGAATCGTGTCCATTTTCTGTTGGCATGTGGAAGGTGAATTGAGAAATCTTGGAGCATAGCTGGAAACGACATTTTTATGATCTAGCAGGTATTTATTTCACTGCACTAGCAAAGTCCATTGTTCAGTTCAGCTTTTGTATTTATCCTGTTCATTCTGGTTTAAAAAAAAAAATCCCAGTGTGTTCTTTGTCACCAGGATGAGGAACTTTCAGCCTATTCACCTTCAGGAATGTGTTAGACTCTTTCTAAAGCACCTTGCAATAGATGAGTAAGAAAACCAAGCTCCTGTCTGCTTTATCCAGCACTTTGCATCTGTGAAGCAGCTGAAAGATGGCACACTTCCAGAAAGCTAATGGGTTAAGAGACTGACGAGACATGTCTAGTTTGATACAACTTGAGATTTAAAAATAAGCTATGCTTATGAAAAATACCTCAAATATCATAACCTTCCAGGTATATCACCAATCAACGAAGCAATTACTGAGATATATTTAAGAATCTTTTCAGTTGACAACTCAATGAAACGTAATCAATGTTGGGGTTTTTTTGAATAAAATGGTATGGCATAAATTCCCTAGAAAATGAGTCTTGTGGATTATTCTTGGTCTATTTTTCCTAAACACCACAAATGCAGGTGGGAGGCTACAGGTCACATGCACAAGGATGCATGCTCAGATTAAATGTTCAGGCTGGAGCTACTGCTGATGTTTAGCTCCAACAGCCAAGGAAACAAGGCTAAACCTTCCCTGGGCCCTTTGCCCTTGTGCTGGAGACACATGGGGTTTATTGTCAGGTTTGCTGTCACAGGGAAGCTTATGTTGCTTCCAGTTCCAGATGGGCCACAGGAGGGTGCGCAAACTGTATCACATATAGATTTAAAAACTGCCTGACCCGAGCTGCTTTTGCAAAAAGTCAGAGTATCATAAAATCATAGAATATTTTGGGTTGGAAGGGACCTTCAGAGGTCATCTAGTCCAAACCTCTGCAACGAGGGGTCCTTGGCTGCTTCTGTGTCCGCAGTGAAGTTTAGCCACATGCTGGATAAAATGCCCAAGGATGACTTCTAGCTAAGTGCACAGCATTCAGTGCCAGTGTGCTGACACATACTCATAACATGGAGACCACTCACAGCACAGAGGCCACCTCACCCAGGGGCTGTCTACAAAAAACCACCACCTGAATTTCTGCCAGAAAAAAATTCTCCAACTTAGAGAATCAACAAAGGAGTTGGGATTAATTGTTCCGTGTTTGAGCCACTGTGCAAATGAAGCCTAGCACAGGTAGCAAGGGCTTTGGAAAGCCAGATAAAGCTAAGAGTATGTGTGTGTAGAGATTATTGTAGGTCCTGGGTACTCTTCCTTTTGTTTGTTTTGGGGTTACTGTGTCTTAAGGGAAGGAGCAGTAGCAAAATGCACATTCTCTGCCTCACCTCTGGCACACTTCTGCTCAGATTCAGATATTCCGCACCTTCAAGAAACACATAGGGAAATAGAAAAAAGTAAATACAGAATCATACAGGTTTGGCTTGGAAGGGACCTTAAAGCTCATCCCGTTCCAACCCCTGCCATGGGCAGGGACACCTTCCACTAGACCAGGTTGCTCTAAGCCCCTGTGTCCAACCTGGCCTTGAACACTCAGGGATGGGGCAGCCACAGCTGCTCTGGGCAACCTGAGCAGACACGTGAGAAGAGAAATGGTTCTTGGGGTGTCTGCAAACTCCCCAAATACTACTTTTCTTGCAGAAAAGCAGAGGATGTGAGGGATACAAAAAGCTGCAACCTCGGTCGATGCACTATGTGTAACTGGCATCATGAGCTCACTCAACAAATACATGTGAGGATCCCACAGTCAGTTTCTAAATTCTTCAAAGGGTGAGGTAAATGCAAAATCCATGCATGCTCTTGCCTATCGTATCACTTCTGCCCATATTTTCCTTGTCTGCAGCCAGTTAGCAGGCAGGAGGGAGGGGCAAAGCCTACATAAAGTGTTTTGCAAGGGGCCACAGCCTCTCCTTGACCACAGTGGCAGGACTGTGTATGGTCACCTAGCTGGAGCTGCCCACCCATGCGAGGATGCCCATCCTGGGACTGGGGACCTGGCAGGTATATGCGGGAGCTGGGGACCTCTCCTTGTCACTCAGGTGACACCAAGAAGTGTGTGGCTGAGGAGTGTGGCAGACTTTTTCATCAATCTCTTCAGGCCAGGACAATGCAGCACATCCTCTGTGTGGCATCTTTTGCTGAAGTATTTCAGGTAACATGGGTATTTACAGCTGTCCTTCAGGAAGCTTGTTAAGTGAGCAGGGAGTGAGCAGGGGGAAGGAGCTTTTTCTTAGCTATGGACAAAAAAAATGCATGCTACAAAAGTTACTACTTCTGCCTACCTTGTTTTTCTTCAGGTTTTATCTTTGCTTTTGGCTCTGGGTATTAACATCCCAGAGTGCCATGTAGGTGTCAGCTTTGGTAAGTGCGTGTAGGGTTAGGAACTTAGGTGGCAATGAGTCGATTTGGAAATGGCTATTTACATTATCTCCTTAAAGACCAAGGGTTACTTATTTGTATGGCAGCAGAGTATGCAGCACTTATCAGGAAAACAGTTTGGGTAGTTCTCTACCTGCAAATGTTATCATCTAATGGATTTTGGGAAGAGAGAAGATTTAAGTATACACTGAATTATAAATGTAAAAAGAGCCTGGAAATGAGCTGAAAATTTTAAGAAAGAGGGCTTCTTAAGGAAGAAAAAGAATAATAATGGATTGTCCCCTGGATTTGAGACTGGAAATGAGTATGATGAATTGCAAACTGCCAACTCTATGAAACACTGTCCAGTAAGTATAAAAGTATCTTCAATTATTCTTGCTGTATTTTGGGGTTGGCTGCTACTGATCATCACATGACTTACTTAGGTACAAATGGGGCTGCGTTGGTTTGACCTTTTCAGCCTTGATTGGTATGATGACAACAGACACTATGAAGCCTAAAGTAATAACTAAGTAGGGTCTAAAAAACCAAAGTGTGCCTTGCATGGGTCCTCTTGGGTATGTACACTGTGATGGATGAGCTCGCTGAAGGAACCTATTGAGACACTAACAGGAACTGGTTAGGAATAAACAGAAGGAAAATTTTGGACACATGATCCCTGCCACCACAAAAATCTCTTGTGTTAATGCTACGAAAACATGGCCCAAACCCACTGTGATTACTTCATCATAGATACTTGGTCTCAAGGTTCCCACCGCAATTTCTTGTCTTTTGGTGGCAATGGAGCTTCTCCTTTACCCAGTCATGCTGACCTGAAGTTCTGGTCAGTGAGCACCACGATAGATTATCTTTTCTGAAGAGCTGCTCACATTACAGACTCCAGGTAACCACAGGGTATATTGTTGCCTTTGCTCTCCACAATTCCTCCTCCATCCAAAAGTGATGCCAATTGCTCCTGCATGGCAGCTTTCCCACAGTGCAGCAGCACCCAGGGATAAGGTACTCTATAATGCCTGGTGTTTGGCAGGTGTCCCCATTCGCCTGCTTTCCCAGGAGCTGCAGGGTTCATACATAGGA